GTAGCCTGGATAGAATTCAGCCCAAACCTTCCAGCCCTGAACTCCAGGCAGCTAAAAAGAATCCTCCCACACTGAAGGGGTTGTGAGTGTAAGCCCAAAGTTCAGGGGCTCATGAACAAAAACCAGCTACCAGGGTCTCTTCATTACAGGAACAAGCTTGGGCCTGAATCTCTAACTCATGGCAGACCCATCTCTCAAGAAGACATCCTCTCAGGTAAATCATCTGAGTCCTGAATCTACCATCCATTAGCTGCATCACCTTGTACAAATCTGACCCTGCTTAATCACCTTTTGATTGCATATAATACCTGTCTTAGGATCATGGTAAAACTTAAGGGAAACAATTTTGGCAGTATGCCCAGATCTGTGGTAAGCACATGCCAGATATATAATAAATGCTCACTTCCAGTGAAAGGAGACTCTAATTACATTCAACAATCAGTGCTTTAGGTGAAAAATCTAAAGATATTCTCCTACAGTGCCTCAAAATTAAAAATTTAACATATGAGAAGAGAAAAGAAGAAACCCACAGCATTCAGAAAATACTCTCCCCCCCACACACACTCTAATGGGTTAAATTTCATCCTCCAAATCTGCTTCTCTTGTAGAGCTTGTGACAAGTAACAAGACAACTCATGGGTCCTTCCCAAAGAGCTGCCACCTAGTATTTACTGTCCCAATGCCAAAGCCTCTGACAGTTTTGGAAAAAATACATCTAGATTTACTAAACAGGAGTAAACTTGGCTCTCTATCCCAAAATGTCCAAATGAAAGACCTAAGGGAAAAAGAAAACACCACCAAGAACCTCCATTTCATTAATATTAATTATTCAATACTATCAGATAGGTAATCTTATATTAGAAAATGTGGGTTTAAATCTTAATGAAAAACAAAGACACAAGAAATGCTCCCAACACACACACACACACACAGTCTGTCTCTGTGTCTTTCTCCCTCTCCTCCTAACTATATCTAGAGTATATGCAGTCATAAAAATTTTACTTGCATATCTGAGATTTTCCAGTCCAGTAGTGGTTATCTACTGTTCAGTCCCTCTAGATTATTTCCTAATGTTTACAAAGCAAAAAAAGTTCTATCTTGGAAAAAAAAAAGAAAATCATCATACACAAAAAATACATTTTGAGGGCTCGAGGTGTGGCTCAAGTGGCAGAGAACCTGCCTACCAAGCCTAAGGTGCTGAGCTTGCTAAATAAATGAATAAATAAATTTTGCCTATGTACTCAATCACCTACTACTTCTCCATGTACTTCTCCAAATCTAAACGTATACAATATGAGATGTGCAAGAAATTGGTAATGTCACCCCCAAAATACGTTTTCTTAAAGGAAATCTGGTCTAAATAGAACTTGAAATAATTGACTTCCACTGCAAGCATTGTCCCCAAATAAATTTACTGCATCCTAGAATCGAGTACACTCAAGGCTGGAATGTTATGCCAGTCATATATTACTTCAAACTCAATAAATCTCTTCTTAGTCTCCAAATCCTAAGCTGCCTTCTAAAATAGTTCACAAAATAGCACCAACCTAATTAACAACAGCTTCCTCTGCAACAGTGGCCTTGATTTCACTTATTTACACATTAACTATAGCCTCCTTTTGGCCAATCCAGTCTATTCTCTGTACCATGCAGAGCCTTTTATCTGCCCTGGACAGCATTTTCTCCAGCAGATGAAGTAGATGCCGATTGATTTGCTGTCGAGCATGGTAAATTAATAGCAACAAATTGCTGAGGGCCCGTCTCGCTGCTCCACCATGCTTCGGCAGTTTTGCTTTATTTGCTCCATGATGGGCAGCAGTCGGCCTCTTCAAGTCAATTTCTTCTTAACAACCTGCAATACTTTTCAATGGTGAAAATAGAGCTGTTCCTTGTAAGTCAGAAATCAATATCCTATTGCCCTTAGAAAATGCTAAACAAGCAGTATTGGCAATCCACTTGGTACCAGAGGGTATCAGATATAATGCAAATCCATACTGCTTCCCTCCTTGTAGTTATTACAGTTTGCTAAAAGGTTCCTAATGTCATTTATCATCATTTACCATCGACCAAAGAAGCTATGATTATGATATCCTATCAGCTGGCAAGGCCCTTTCATTTCTATTCAATTAATATTTTAGCAGCACTCAAATGGTTGTGGCCCAAGTCTTGTAATGAAATTTACGTGGCTTAGAGTGAAATAGGAGTTTTGCTGGTTTGATTTAAAAAAAAAAAAAAAAGCATATATATACACACTTATATGACTACACACATGACAAATGCATAAATACTTGTATATAAATGTGCAAGTTCACTTTTAGTTTCTAAATGTTACAGACTAAAAATTCTCTAATAATTTTTAAAATTCTAAATTATTTTAGAAGCAAAGAGATCTTCAGATTATACAATATTTACTATGAGAATGTCCTGAGTTATACTCATTCTTCCCTTTTCAAAATGTAAAATGTTCACCAAATAGGTTGACTTTGCATGCCTATGGCTCCTAATCTATGTTCAATATTCACTTTTACAGTAGTAACCATTGCTGTCAGATTCCACCAGAGAGGATTCCTTTAATTACAGCATCATAGGTGAAGGATTCCTACAAGCGGCATTCAGTAATGACATTAAATGCATGCACCACCCTGATTCGCCCAGTCACTGGTCCAATTAGAATCTATACTACACAAAGGACCAGCAAAAGAAGTAACTAAACCCTGGGCCAACTACCCTATCCAAAACAATAAACGAAACTCCATACTTAGGAAAATCCTTAGGGAATAAAGGCCAATGTTCTTTCATTTTTAAAAATTCCATTTTTGAAGACATCACAATGAAACATGCCATTTCTAACCATACCCTATCTGCCATCTTCATTTTCACGCTAGAAGTTAAGACACTGGCCAGGCATTAATTCCCATTATACCCTAGAACGCCCCACCTCAACTTTTCTCGTATTTTTTCCCCCTAGCTTCATCTGCTCAGCTCTATTAATCCTACTAAAAATTACCAGAAATCAGAGTCATATTTTATGCTCCAATTCCATGTCACTGATTTCCCCTTTAAAAAAAAATCCACTAATTCTACCAGACTAATGCTATTTACTCAGTTACCAAAATTTAAATTAATTATGTTCTCAAACATAATTGTTAAAAATTGGCAACATTATGCAGGCTTAATTAAGATTAAATCCAATTTACTAAATGTACTTTAATTGGTACTAATTACATTAGCTTTCATTTCAGAATGACAAATTCCCCATAGGTTTCACTTTATAGTTCTCTATGAGAATCAACACAGGGTGACTGATGATGAGCATCATACAAAAAGAGGAGGGGGAGAAGACGGACCCACACCCTACTTGTCACTGCTTCATACTTTCATCCTCTTATCAATTTGCTAAGTCAGAGTCATGACTCCATCACAACCATCATTTTCTGTTCCAAGGAAAATTTTCTCTAAAAATACTCTGTGGCTGGCTGCAGCCAAGAACAGGAACGTTAACCAAAAAATACACAAAGGTTTCAAATATCAGGGCCACCAATTACTAGGGTACTTCCAAGGACTCCTGGGACTCCTACTCTTGAACCCTTCGAGACACAAATCTAATAAGTGAATAAGCCTAACCCGATCTTGAGAACTAGGCCCAATTATGCCGCAGGGCAACTTCCCTGCATTATTGCTGCTTTCCATTACAAGGGTACCCAGCTAGTGCATCTGGAAGAGAGGCTAAAAGGAACTAAGGCTGTCTGCCTAGGAAAACAAATAAAGACAGATATGCCTCTGTGCTTAAGGGGGAGAAAAAAAAGGAAAATATAATAAGTAGGTGGTTTGCAGGGCTGTCTGTATTTCATAATGTGATAAACTGCCCTCAGGATTCTTGATATGATTGAATTTAAAAGCAAGAGAAAAAAAAGAAAAATGTACTCTTCTCAATTTTAAATGGATGGCATCTGAGGCCAACTAGATAAGATGACAAAATTTTAGAGGTACAAAATGTGTAAAATTAAGGATCTCACATACCATCCAAAAACAAAATGAAATATATACAGCCAAATACAAGCTATGTGCTTCTCAGAAGTGTAGGTGGTACAAAAAAATCTGGAAAGTAAATGATTAAGATAAACAAAATACAGAAAATGAGAAAATAAAGGGGCAATAATCAACTAGTTCGATCTTCTAAAAGACACTAATCTTGGATGAGAACCAAAAAAGAAAAAAAATGTACAAAATTCAGACCTAAAATGATAGGTGATGAAGATTAACAAATATTTGTTATGTTATTTATTCCTATAAGGTTAAGCTTGACTAGATTTTGCTTATGTTATGCCAAAGATGTCAAAATAAGAATTAAGTTTTAACAAACTTAATAAAACTATGGCAAACTATGGTGGCAAACTATGTAAGATACTTATATAGATACAGACATATTATTATATAGCACATACACTATGCTAATATTGGCATAACTAAATAGCATACCAGGTAAAAGAGTATCTGAAATAAAAAGTCCTCAGTGTAAGTAACATCTCATTTTTTCCAACTTTTTGTTTTCAAATAGTATGTGAATGCCTTTATTAGCCTCTTTTAAAGATCTACTCTGTGGGTATGTTCTCAGCATATTCAAAAAGGAATCCAGAAATAGCAAAAAGCCTAATGATGTGACCATTTCATACTTTCTAAACAGAAAAGGTAATGACATCCACCTTGAACACAAATAAGACATAAAAAGCATTAAGTTTTTCTTCGTCTTTTTCTCAGCAGGCAAACATATATGTACCTATTCTGAAATGGATGAGACCTGAAGCACTTTCACTAGGACAGCACTAAAAATAAACGTATCCCCAATAGGAATTATTAATTGTAAGCAACATTTTACATATATATATACACACACATATACATGTGAAACTTAAACCAAACATTTGTCTCCTGCAAAAAACAAAGCCTGTTTTCAGTCAGACCCCTCAATAATTTCTGACTAATCTGATTTTTTTTTTTTTTTTTTTTTAACTAATTGCCAGATTTCAAGACCCTCCTCTCCTTTCAGGCTCATTTACTCTGTACAAATTTTGGAAGTAATGGTTACAGCTCCTAGAAAGTCCCAACTAAGCAGCCTTGGGGGACAAGAACAAGGATTTTATATCAATTTCTTTTGTAGCTCCACAGATTTCATTTTGATCCTCCCAACTTATCCTCTCTTTCACATGGAGTCAACGATGGCTCCACACAATTTACAATTTTACTTAATATTTTCCAAGAAAAGCTCTTTCATTAAGACAAGTGTGTATGTACTGCCCAAAATACAGAAAGCAACTCTTTCAAAAGAAAAACTGTATGTTAAATTTTAGTATATGGCTTTTGAAAGTGTACAAAGTTTAATATGCATTCTGATTTTTTAAAAACATTTTAAATGATTAAAAATAGGGTAATTTTAATCAGAAGATGAAAAACTAGCTCTCTATACCCAGTCTTTAAAAATACAGATAACAATGCAGAGAAGACAACTGCAAAATACCCATTTTTTTTCAAAGTGCATGAGTATTTCTGACATTTAAAATGGTAATTAAAAAAATAGTAGCTTACCTGCTTGTGCATTTCTATATTCAACCCATAGGACATTTCATAATACTGTCAAAAGAAGAAAAGCAATTAAATTTGTACCTTTCAAATAATCCTCCCCACTTTGTTCAAAATAACCCAAGAATGTTGGTAACAAAACAAAAAACATAAAAGCCTCACCTTAACCAAAATATCCATAACACCCACGCCAATAAATCAAAAGGGATGTCCAATTACTATCCTTAGTCTAGTAAAACAGAAGCCACCTTAAGAGAGACTCCAAGAGAATAACTCACAAAACTAAGAAAAATTATGTTCAAACACAGTATTCTTAACATCTCCAATTGTCTTTATATGTCACAAGCAGATGAATCAAGTCTGATGAAAATTCAGTGCCATGACTTAATCCCTAGGTACAGAGGAAATGTGTCTTGTACAAACGCTGAAGCTTTGAAAGAATGATTGGAAAAGGTGATGCTACTTCAGTGTTCAGTTTCTCAATTTTAGTGTACTACTCATGTTCACACAATCGAAGCAAAAAGTTTAATAGAAAATTAATGAGTTACTCTGAAGCGTTTTTGAACATAAAATATGCTTTCGAATCATAAAAATATGCTTCATAATACTTCTGAAAATGCAGATCTGATTGTTTTGAACATGTGGTATAACTGGCATTTCAGAAATTCTAGCAGAGCAAACCAACACTCCTCAAAAACCAATATAACACTATGGAAATTGAAAACATACACATACAAATATAAACATAGCAGTAACATAAAGAACGGGGGAAAAGTAAAAAAGGATCTCGTGCCTTTTCTTATCTGTCATTCTTTAAAAGAAATGAGACATTAAACATTTTAAAAGTATATAGAAAAACTTACGGCTTAAAATTGGAGCAAGAGCAATAAAACAACAAAGAAAACCACTAACAAAAACATTTTGCTTATGACTAAACAAAACATAAATGAGGTTTTTGTTTTCATTTTTTTTCAATCTATAAAAACAAAGCACAGAAAATTATACCCCATGCAGATGAACTTTTTGAAAATTCAAATCAAAGCTGGTTGTCAAAGGCAAGTTATAATATCCTAGAATTACAGGTTGCTAATGGACACATTCCCACAACCTCAACCACACTGGCAAGGCCACTGTGATCGCTCATGCAGCCTCCAGCAATCTGAACGTACTCTAGCTTTTTAGTATCCCAAACTAATAGGCACTTTTGAATCTGTGACACAGTTTTCTTACCATGACATAATGCCGCTGCATCTCAGTCTTCTCACTGGCCAGTTTCTCACATTCCAGCTTTAGACTGTTCAAGACATGGAATAATCTAAGTACAGTGCTGAACTTAACTTACATCCTTCAAATCTAAATACACATTCCCTCCTCTAAATCATCACTACAAACAGTCAAATCAACAATCGTAAATACTGCCTCATTAATGAAAGGAGGAGAAAGGCAAATGAATAACTAGAATCAGCCTGAACTTGCCCCTTCAATAAGGATCAAATGTAGAGTTTTTTATACATTTTAAAGAAATAAACCTTATAGTCAGTTTAATTCTGGAAACTCAACCAGAATTGAATAGTCACTGAATTCACTTAGAACAAGGAAATAAACATCAATAATGACTACATATACAAGAACAAATAGGTCCTCCAAAATGTCACAAAAGCTTTTTTTCCTTTAATGTTCTATGAAGAGATTAATGGAAATATGAATCAAGCAGTCGTATGAATGAGGTCTTGTTTTTTTTCCCTCCAAAGCACACACACAAGTTGAATACCACCACCCAGGGGCAAAGTGTTGACCAGGTTCAGTAGCTTGTTTTGGTTCTTGCATTTATGAAACAAGAATTATGTATCGTTCAAAAGCCAGGTAAAGAAAAATGCTTCAAAGGCACTCTGAAGTCTAACCAAGTGCCTCTAAAACAAAAACACTGTCTTCAGCATAAAAGTAAAGAAATTGCTCACTGGCTACATCCCGGGGTTCTCAGCTATTCAGTGGAATGGCAGCGAGAAGTGAGAAGGAATCAAGCATAGAGTAATAAAGAACCAAGGAAGTCAAAAGGCCCCAGAATCTTCCCAACCTTCCATTCTCCCGGCCCCAATAAATCAATACCGAAAGTTTGGCCTCAGCGTTTTCCAAGTCTCCTCAGTTTCGATTGCTCGGGTTCCTTTTTTATTTACAGTAGAAGAAAGAAATGCTTAATTTCTTTACACCTGCTTAAGAAAAGAGGCCTTAACTTGCCCTTTCTGCCCACAGGAAAAGAATGATAATAATACCTTTGTGGTAGCGAAAAAAAAAAGGGGGGGGGGGAGTGTGTGAATGTGGGGGGTAGACAAGAGCTAAGCAAACAGGAGGATCAGCTAAAGTCAATATCGTTACCTGTGGTATTGAGCCTGTAAAAACTGAAACTCTTCCTTAATCCGATCACAGGATTCGGAAATTGTAAATTTAAAGGGTTGAGCAGGCTGATGCGGTGCCTAAAGAACAACAATAAAATATTTAATTAGCCCACATCACAGGGGAAGCAGAGATGGAGAAAACACACCACGCGGCGCTGGCAGCCCAAGAGCGATTCAACTCTCCTTCTCCCCTTCCTCCTCCTCCCGCGCCACAGCCCGAAGGGGAAGGTGGCCCCGGGCCCGCGGGTTCGAGCCCCGGCTCCCCTCCCTGACCCATTGCGGGGCCGCGCACCGCGCCCACTCTCTGCCCACCCGGAATCGAAACTGGCCCGTCGGGGGAACCCGCGCCATGGCGTCGGGCCGCGGTCAGGCCGAGGGAGGGGGCGCAGCTGCCACCCTCCAGCTCCTTCTCCCACACCCTCTCCTGCTCTTGCTCCCTCGATCGCCCGGGGCCCGCAGCGCGAGGGGCCGGCGCCCCGCACTCCCGAGCCGCAGCCGGCCCAGCAGCGCCGCCACCAAGGGCGCCCTCCCCGCCCCAGCGCGGAGTCGCGCCTCCTTCACCGCTCGCCAGCCCCCCACCCCCGCACCGGGGAGTCGCGGCGCGGGGAAGGCGAACGGCTCCGCGCGGCTTCCAGGGGCTTCAAAGACAACAATAAGAAAATGGCTACAACTCAATTGCCTCTCCGCACCCCCCTCGGAAAGTGCCACCGCGCCAGGGGGTGTTGGGGAGAACGACTGCGGGCGGCGGCTCTGGGAGCGGGCGCCGGGGTCGGGCCGCTCTCCACGCCCCTCCGGCCAAAAGACACAACTCGTCGCTCAGGGGGGCGACACGGGGAATCCCCTACTCCCGGCGAGCCCGAGCCCGCGCCCGCGCCCGCACTCACCGGGTGTCTGGTCTGCGGGTACATCTTGCTCAAGTCGCGAATCATCCAAACCGATTTAGTTGGCTGCCCTGGGCAGAGGCGCGCGGCTCATTGGCTTTAATGGCCCCGAGGAGGAGGAGGAGGAGGAGGCGGCGGCGGCGGCGGCGGCGGAGGCGGCCGGCCGGGTCTGAGGAGCGGCTCGGGCGGTCCCGGCCCCCGCCGGGTCTCGCGTGACGCGGGCGGCTGGAACGCGCAGCGGCTGG